GGGGTACTCGGGATGGGTTTGTCAGAGGCAATGAGATTGGCACAGGATAGAGCACGGTTTAGGGCTGTTGTACATAGGGTCACTATGAGTCGCAAGAGACTCAACGGCACATAACAACAACAACAACAACCTTGGAGAAGGACATCATGCTTGGGAGGGTGGAGGGACAGTGCAGGAGGGAAAGGCTTTCTATGAGGTGGATTGATTCAGTGACTGGGGTAATCAGGAAGAGAGTGTCAGAGATAGTGTGATTGGCACAGGACAGAACAGAGTTTAGGGCTGTTGTACACAGGGTCACTCTGAGTTGCAAGAGACTCAACGGCACATAACAACAACCTGTCTCAGTGAGTAGCTACTGAGTCCCCCTGCTCAGTTTTTGTCCACTTCTCAGAACGTACCTTTTCCTTGTCTCAATGCCATGCTCTTATTGTAAAAAAAAAAAAAACACAGTAGGAAAAAGAGATGATTTTTCTCATAGCTCAGCAACTTCACAACAAGAACTTTAAGCCAACTCTCTTGCAATGTGAAGGGTGATGTTTTATATTTCTTTAGAATTTTATCTAAAGAACTTGCCATAACCTTCAATAGCTGTCACTGTTCTGATTTTTTCAGAATAAGAGCAATACTAGGGGATTACCAATACATACCGGTTTTCCTGACATGCAGAAAATGCTGAAGATGGTATATGCCTCAAGGCCATGATGAGGTTGTATCTGACAAGCTACATCCTGGGGGGCTCTGTTGACCATCAAGTACAGTTGAGCTTTACCCAGCAAGATGTGTTTTGAAGCTAAAGAGAAATATTAAGTAGAGATTACAGCATCAGAGGGAATTACAATCGTTATTGTTGTGTGCCATCAAGTCATAACTGACTCATAGGTGACCCTCCAGTGGGTTTTAAGAGGCAGTAATCACATGGGAGGAGAATGTTCATACTTTTTCCTGCAGAGCAGCTGGCAGATTCAAACTATGTGCCTTCAGGATTACAGTACAGATTCTTACCACTAACATGAAGTTATATTTTTATAGTACAAACCCATAGTAGTAATGTTCAAACTGTGGTCCCTGGACCACTGTCAGCAGCACACTGGAATGTGTTTAGAGTACCAATTTGTGGGCCTAGGATCTGATAAATAAAAAAACTAGAATTTTCAAGACTAGAATACAGTCCAACAATACATTTTAACAAGTCATCCAAGTGATTATGACATAACTAAAGCTTGAAGAGCTGTATTACATAGTGAAAATTCAAAGGTATTGCTGCTGAATTGGAACCAACTCATAGCTTACCCTTAATAGGTTTCCAAGGTTGTACATTAAATAGGAAGAAACCTATATAATTTTCCAAGTTTCTAAGGTGGCAAATTACATGGGACGAAGTGCCCTAAATCATTTGATAATGTTGACAATAGCAGGCACTGCATGCTGAGCCTTTGCTATGATTCTGAGATGGAGCTAAATGTTTTTCATCTATTATCTTTTATAAAAGTCACATCAACTATAGAATACTGATGCTACAACAAAAGTAAAATAAAAGAAAAAAGATCTGATTGACCCAAGAAATCTTTACAAAGTGACATTTAAGCAGAATCTAATGGTATGAGACATATACTAGACTAAGAAGGAAACTGTGGGAGAATAATAAGTATTCCAGTGGAGATGACTATAGGAAAAGAAAGCCATATGGAAGAGAACAGATGATATGAAAAGTTTTAGGGGAAAGAGGGAGAAGAGGTATGAGAACTAAAGCCAGATTTGCACCTCAGTGACAAGCCAACAAGATAGTCTTGTAGGCTGTGGTGAGGCTCTCAAGATCCTCTTCTAGTCAAGTAGATGATTGATCAAAAGAAGGCATTTAGACTCACTAGTTGTATAAATGTAAGAGGCAAAAGAATGAGGCTTACATTTTTATGGCATGTGACAAGACAAAAGCACACTGTCTCTCTTAGGGTTTGTAAATGAGTCATGGAAAGTGCAGATACATGTTTACAAAAACACAAATTGATCTCAAAAACCAGAACATTGCTTGGCTCCACAATCAACACTCTTGGTAGTAGCAGTCAGCAAATCCAAAGGTGAATTGGGCTGGGAAAATATATTTTCAGAGACATCTCCAGAGCACTGAAGAGCAATGATATCAGCCTGGAGACTAAGGTGTGTTTGATCCAGGCCATGGTCTTTGCAATTATACGTTACGCACTAAGGATGACAGAAAAAGAATTGATGTCTTTGAGCTTTGATTCTAGAAAAAAAGTATTTAATATACCATGGACAGCTAGGAGAACAAACAGGTTCATCCTGGAGAGGCTGAAAACTGGCTGCTTCTTGAAGACAAGTATTCTGAAGCTCCATCTGACATATTTTTTGGCATATTACAAGGAGGGCTCAGTCCTCACAGAGGGACATTATGCTTGGGAGAGTGGAGGGACAGCACAAGTGAGGGAGAATCTTGATGAGATGAATTGACTCAGTGACGAGAGTAATGGGAGTAGGTGTGTCAGAGACAATAAGGTTGGCTCAGGATAGAGCAGGGTTCAGAACTTTTGTATATAAAGTCACTATGAGTAGTAAGCAATTTGATGGTACATAACAACAGCAATAATGGATTTTAATTAATTCAAAAGTGTTGGCACTAAACTCACCTGTAGACATAAATTGTTGAAAGCTCTGTTTTGTACAGTGTTAAAACTCACTAGACAGTGTAGAAGTTACCCACAGAAGAGTATCTAAATATACCAAAAGTATAAAACTATACCCAACATGCATCAGTCATGCACAGGGCAAATGTTACTAACATGTACAGATTAATCCTCTCACTGAGAACTAAGAAAGTGTGATAATGTTTTTAAAGTATGTTTGAAAGCATTGGGGAACTCCTCAAGTAGCTAGGACTTGAGAGAGCAAAATCCCAGAAAGAAAGAAAATACACTGAAGTAAAGCACCTATGTATCATCATTTCTTCCTACAAGACATGTGTTGAAAACCAGAAAGCCCAAAGTTCAGAAATTTCAGTAGTATCCCATCATTGGAAGAGGGAAAAAAATGGCATAAGATCTATATATCAGAAGAAAGAAGCCAAACACACACACCAAATTCCAAAAGTTCACCAAAAAGGTAATCACGATGGACTTCAGAAAGATTTAAGTCAAGCCTCAAACAAACTCAATCCTGGGGGTCCAAGGTGTAATGTCACCCTCTCTAGAGGGAATGCAATAGTCTAGAGATGCAACATCTATAATTACAAAAAATATTTAAATAAATAGTTACTATGCATATACTGGAGGAATGTCTATCTGTGTTTCACTGACTATGCAAAGGCATTTGACTGAGTGGATCATAACAAACTGTGGCTGACTCTGAGAAGAATGGGAATCCCAGAACACTTTATAGTTCTAGTGCAAAACCTATACTTGGGCCAGAAGACAGTCGTCAGAACAGAGCAAGGGAACACTGCATGGTTCAAAATTGGGAAGGGCGTACGCCAGGGATGCGTTCTATCTCCATACATTTTCAACCTGTATGCAGAACAGATCATCCGGGAGGCTGGAGTCTATGAGGAGAAAAGTGGGTTCAAGATTGGTGGATGATCTATTAACAATCTGCTTTATACAGATGACACAACCCTGCTTGCTGAAACTGAGGAGGACCTGACGCACCTGCTGCAGAGGGTCAAGGACTATAGCCTCCAATATGGATTGAGGCTCAATGTCAAGAAGACAAAGATTCTCACCACTGGGCCAAATGGAAGCATCAGGATGGATGGTGAAGAGATTGAGATTGCTCACAGCTTTAGTCTGCTTGGCTCCACAGTCAACACTCTTGGCACCAGCAGCCAAGAAATTAAAAGGCGCATTGCCATGGGAAAGTCTGCTGTTAGAGACCTCTCCAAAGTACTGAAGACCAATGGTGTCTCTCTGGAAACTAAGGTGCGTCTGATACAGGCCATGGTCTTTGCAATCACTTGTTATGCATCAGAGAGTTGGACAATGACCAAGGAGGACAGAAGGACAATTGATGCCTTTGAGCTGTGGTGCTGGAGAAGAGTATTGAGAGTGCCATAGACTGCTAGGAAAATAACCAGATCCATCACAGAAAGGGTTAAACCGGGTGGCTCTTTGGAGGCAAGGTTTCTGAGGCTCCATCTAACATACTTTGGACATGTTGTAAGAAGAGACCGGTCCTTGAAGAAGGACATCATGCTGGGGAGGGTGGAGGGACAGTGCAGGAGGGGAATGCCTTCTATGAGGTGGATTGATTCGGTGACTGGGGTTATTGGGATGGGAGTGTCAGAGACAGTGCAATCGGCACAAGAAAGAGCAGAGTTTAGGGCTGTTGTACATAGAGTCGCTATGAGTCGCCAGCGACTCAACAGCACATAACAACAACAACATCCATATCTTTCAAGAATGGAAAGTACAAAGGAAGAAGGAAAAATATCCTCCCCAGACTAAAACCCATCAGTTACTTAAAAGCGATGAATATACCACATAGATATAGATTTTAAAATAAGTGAACAATATCATTAATATCACAAGCAAGCAAGATTCTGATGAAAATTACTCAAAAACGAGTGGAACGTCATATTAACAGAGAGTTACCAGAAGTGCAGGCTGAGTTTAAAAGATGTCGTGATACTAGGGATATTATAGCTAATGTTAGATGGATCTTGGTTAAAAGCAGAGAGTACCAGTGGAATGCCTATCTATGTTTCATTGACTATGCAAAGGCATTTGACCGTATAGATCACAACAAGATGATTGGGAGGATGGAGGGACAGAGCAAGAGAGGAAGACCCTGGATGAGACGAATTGATTCAGTGACTGGGGTAATGAGAGTAAGTGTGTCAGAGACAGTAAGATTGGCACAGGATAGAGCAGGATTTAGGGCTGTTGTGCATAGGGTCACTCTGAGTTGCAGGTGACTCAACAGCACATAACAACAACAATAACAATATTATCACAATTCAACTCCAAATAAGTTTGGATTAATTACAACTGAGCTGCCTTAAAAAATATGTATTATCAAATAATAAAAATTCTGATCAAATAGTTGGAAACTGTGAAAAAAGATTATATGAAATTCCAAAACTGGAAAATTAGAGTAAGTAAGGCTAACTCAGTGGATAATTTTAACAGCAGATTACCTGTATCTGAAAAGAAAATAGTACATTTTCAGACAGATAGGTCAGTAGAAATGCATGGAATTTGCAATGGAGAAGCAAAATACTAGAAAAGGAAGGAATATAAAAGAAGTGTTGTTGTTGTACATTGTTGAGTTAAAACTGACTCATAGCTGACCCTCTGACTGGTTTTCAAAGGCAGTCAATTACAAGGGAGGAGAATGGCCATCTATCTCCCAAGGAGCAGCTGGTGGATTCAAACCATGTACCTTTGGGTTTGCAATATAGTTTCTTGCCACAAGGCCAGCAGTGCTCCCTATAAAAAAAATACAGAACATGGCAAAAAAAAATCTAACATTTGTGGCATTGGACAAAAACAAGGAACATATGAAAGAAGTAATATGGGGAAAATAGTTGAGAATTTTTCAGAACTGGTGAAAGGTATCCAATCACAAAGGCAAAAAAGGTTTTGAATTCCATTATGGGCTATCTGCAAACCTTATAATTACTGTACCTCAGGTTGTCTCTCTTTCCTTTATATTTGACACTTGGTGGAAAGAAGTTTGTCAGTTTTGTTGTCAGGAGCTATCCAATTGACTATGACTCATAGTGACCCTATGAACTATCGGTCTGAAGTACCTTATCTTATACCATCATCATGATCTCTGATCTGCTTGAGCTCACTGTTAACAGTAAGCTTACTATTGTTATCATTGTCATTGTGCCAATCCATCTTGTTGACCTCCTAATTGCAGCCTTTATTGCTTCTGGTTTCCCCCATTTTAAATTTTTTTTTAATTAAAAAACCCTCTTCTTCCACAAAACAGTGGGTTCATTTTTAAATTCAGTCACTTTAGGAAAAATCAAACCTGTGTTTCAGGGTAACAATACTCAAAGAAACAAACAAACAATGAAATGGTGTCTTTAAAATGCAGATCCTAGAATTATATAAATGAGTAGAAGAAAGAAAAGGAAGGAGGGAGAATAACTTTCAAAAATGAAGGTAAATTCATTATATTTTTAGATAAGCAAAACTTGGAGAATTTGTAACTAGTAGAGCTACACTAAAAGGAATTCTAAGAAAGGAATGTTTCTTGAAGCAGAAAGGAAAAACACCCAACACCACAAATAATAAGGAAAAAGAAATGAAGACTATTAACTGGTAAATATGTACATAAATTTAAATTGATGTTACTTGTACAAAACAAAAGCAATAGCATTTTGTTGAGTCTTAAATATATGTAGAAATTATTGACAAATTTACAAGGAGGAAACAAACTTCTCTAGTACTTAATCTCAAAGAAAAGATATAAAATGAGGGGGGGAAAGAATCAAAACAAATATCTCAAGACAACTACCCAACTACAAGCCAGATACTTGAGTAGAGGAGGAAGAAGTGCTTTTATAGAAACATGTTAGCTAGTTAATTAGTTAGTTGGTTGGTTAGTTAGATAGCTAGTTGCTGCTTATCCTGTTCTTCAACATAAGAAATCAGTTAAAACAGCATGACAGCAAAGAAGATGGGGGAAGTCAGAACTCGCTAGAACAAAGTCTTACCATGGTCAGAAAAACTTCCCAAGGTGGAGGGAAATTTTATATATATTTGAATAGAACTATGGCCTTTCCCTTTCACTGAAAAAAATTAAACAAGAAGTTTCACATACCCACAGAAGCTTGTACAATGTACGTCTCTCCACTTCTCAGTGAAAATGGCTTTATTGTCATAGTTTGTCCTGTGATACCTAAAGAAATGGATGTGTGTAAATGAGAACAATGATTAATTAAACTCTGAAGACAAGATGACTCAAGATTCAATAAAAAGGCAAGACAAATTCCTTAATTATAAGTTAACTCATAATCAAAAGGTATAGAGAAAGCACATGTTAATTAAATGCATCTGTTCAAGCTTGGAAAATTCCATTTCATTAGTGTTTCCTCATTTTTGGTTGTTCTGAGAGCTTTTTTGGGGGGTATTTATTTAAATTTGCTTCTGTGGAGTTGATTCTGACTTTGATAGATCCTTCATCAGGTTTTCAAGGTTATATGCCTTTACTTAAAAAAGAATACTGGGTTATATGCCTTTACTTAAAAAAGAATACTGGAGAGTACAACAGGAAGGGGAATCTGTTCTCTGACCACACTGAAGAACACTTCAGATAATTACAGACTTTAGGAGAGAGAGGCACACACAGGTGAGATTCCTATAAATGCTGCACAAGACCTGAGAGAGCAGAAACATAAAGGTACCAGGAACTGTCCTCCATCCTGGATAGAGAATGCACCACTCAGGGAAACGTTGTCACCCACCACTCCACAAATCATCAAGAACAATAATGGACTCTAGGAGTGGAGAGACAGACCACATTCAGGTGACATTCCCATATGGCTGGTCTGCAGACCAGAGAGAATTAAAAAAAAAAAAAAAAGTACTGGTTGACTAACAAAGTTCATATACATTGTGAACTTGAAGGGCTTTAGGAAAAGCATACTTTTCCACTATGTAAGACTAGGAAGGAGTTGTTCTCCCCCATAAAGAGAATACTCCAAGTCTACAACTAGACAATAGCATCATAAAGGTAAAGAACTGTTAACAACCAACACAAACATGATAGAAACAGTCTAACACACAACACATACCAAGAAAAAAAAATCACATAAAGACAAGAAAGCAGCACGTAGCTTCAGAGATTGTGAAAGACAAAAATAAGCCTTCTCTTAATAAAGAAGATTATATTGGAGACCCAATAAGTACCCTAGAGACAAGGAGACAAAATAATCATACCAGGATGGAATTATATTAAAAGCTAATGAATAAGTTAAAAATGATGGAAGAAAGACGTCAAACTATAAATAATGAGGTAGAAGAATTTTTAAAATCATCACAAAACAGAAAGGGTACAACCAACACAGGTCTGGAAGTATCAGAAACACATGAAAATACAAGGCAGAATATCAAGCACAACATAGGAGAATTTCTATACACAGTGGAGGGACAAAAAAGCAAAACAGAAAAGATGGAACAGAGTCATCAAGCTGGAAGATAAGCTCATTGGGGACATACTAGAAGGAAAAGCAGAGAAGGGATGCCAGGAAAATGAAGCAAACATTAGAATCATGTGGGATGACATCAAAAGGAACTACAAATATGTAAATTGGAACTCCAGTGCTAGAGAGGAGGAGAGAAAGCAGAGAAAATTGTGGAAGAGGTACTAGAAGAAAATTTCCCAAATACCATTAAGAATGAGGAAATTCACATTCAAACAACTCAGCAAACTCCAGACTAGACCCCAAAAGAAAAACATCAAGATATATCAAATAAAATTCTCCAAAATTAAAGAAAAAGATGTTGTTATTTGCTATCAAGTTACCTGCAACTCATAGCAACCCTATGTACAACAGCCCTAAATGCAGCTCTGTCCTGTGCCAATCTCACTGTCTTTGACACCCCCACACGGATTACCACAGTCATTGAACCAATCCACCTCACAGAGGGTCTTCCCCTCCTGCGCTCTCCATCCACCCTCCCAACCATGACTTTCCTCTCCCAGGAATGGTCCCTCCTTGCAACATGTCCATTGTCAGAAAAAGCCTCAGAAAACTTGCCTCCAAGGAGCAGTTCGGTTTATCCCTCTCCAGGATGAACCTGTTTGTTTCCTTAGCAGTCCATGGTATATTCAATACTCTTCTTCAGCATCACAGCTCAAAGGCACCAATTCTCCTTCTCTCCTCCCTAGTCATTGTCCAACTCTCTGATGCATAACAAGTGATTGCAAAGACCGTGGCCTGTATCAAACTCGCCTTAGTCCCAGAGTGACACCATTGTTCTCCAGCACTTTGGAGAGGTTCTTAACAGCAGACTTTCCAATCACAATATATCTTTTGATTTCCTGGCTGCTGATGCCAAGAGTGTTGACTGTGAAGCCAAGCCGACTAAAGCTGTGAACAATCTCAATCTCTTAACCGTTCATCATGACACTGTTAACTCGCCCAGTGGTGAGATTCTTTGTCTTCTTGATATTGAGCCTCAATCCATACTGAAAGCTGTAGTTCTTGACTCTCTAAAGCAAGCACTTTAGGTCCTCCTCAGTATTAACAAGCAGGGTTGTATGGTCTGCATAACACAGATTGTTGATGGATCTTCCACCAATCCTGATGTCACACTTCTCATCGAGCCCAGCCTCCTGAATAATCCGTTCTGCATATAGGTTGAAAAGGTATGGAGATAGGACACATACCTGGCATATACCTTTTCCAATTTTGAACCATCCAGTATTTCCTTGCTCTGGTCTGACGACTGCCTCCTGATCCAAGCATAGGTTTCACCTTAACACGATCAAGTGTTCTGGGATTCCCATTCTTCTCAGAGTCAGCCACAGTTTGTTATGATCCACACAACACCTTCCTTCATCACCACAGGCTCTTGCTCATATGTTGTTTCATGAAATTCTACTGTTTCTGCCAATTCTTTTCGATACAGTGACTCACAATATTCTTTCCATCGTCTTTTAATACTTCCTGTATCATTTAATATTCTGCTGAAGGCATCCTTGATTATAGCAACTCAAGTTTTGAATTTTTTCTTCAGTTTTTTGAGCTTAAGAAATACTGAGCAAATTCCACCCTTTTGATTTTCTGATTCCAGCTCCTTGCACATTTCATTTTAATATTTTACTTTACCTTCCTGTGCTGCATTTTGAAAGCTTCTGTTCAGCTCTTCAGTATCTTGAATTCTTCCTTCTTATTTGACTTCTTGGTGCTTCAGTGCAATATTCAGAGTTTTCTCTGACATCCATTTTGGTCTTTTTGAGAGAAAAACAGAGCCAACTACAAAGAGAAAAACGAATTTCATTAAGTCCTTATTTCTCAGTAGTAGAAACTATGTGAGGAAGAAGACAATGGGATGGGATATACAGAAGACTGAAATAAAACAATTGTCAGTGAAGGATCACTTAGCAAAGTGGTCCATCAAATATGAAGAAGAAATCAGTTCATCTGCAGAAAAGCAGGAACTTAAGGAATTGAAAAACAATAAATATAATACATCATATTAACAAAGAAAAGAACAAGAGCCTATCAATTGATGCAGAAAAGGCCTTGACAAAATCCAACACCACTCCCTGATTGAAACATTCAATAAAATAGGAATAGAAGGAGATTTCCTCAACACAGAATATATGTGTGTGTGTGTGTGTGTGTGTGTGTGTGTGTATATATACACAAAATCAAGAGTCAACATCATTCTCAGTAGAGAAAGACTAACGATCTTACAAACAGGGACCAAACAATGATGTCCACTGTCATCATTACCACTCAATATTATACTGGAATTACTTGCTAGGGCAATAAGGTAAATGAAGGAAATAAGAGGCAGTCAATCAAAAAGAAGTAATAAAACTGTCGCTATATGTAGATGATATGATAGTGTGCACAGAAAACTCCAAAGACTTAAAAAAAAAACCCACCACAAAAACCAACTCTACAAAACAACTATGTGATATCATCTCACCCCAGTAAGAATAGCAAATTTAACAGAACATCAAATGCTGACGGGGTTGTGGAGAAACTGTTGGAACCCTTAGTCACTGTTGGTGGGAGTGTGAAATCGTGCAACCACTATGGAAGGCTATATGGTGCTTTCTCAAAAAGTTGAAAATACCATTTGACCCAGTAATTCACTACTGGGAATTTACCCTAAAGAAAGCATAACCACCATCCAAGCAGATATATACGCACACCCACATTTATTGTGGCTTTGTTCACAACAGCATAGAGTTGGAAACAACCCAAGTGCCCATCAAGAAACAAATGGATAGGGAAACTCTGGTATATTCACATAATGGAATGCTATGCAGCATTTAAAAACAAAGAACTCATGAAATATTATGCAAAATGGATGACCCTGGAGGACATTATGTTGAATGAAATATCTCAGTCACAAAAGGACAAATATTGCATAAGCCCATTGTTGTAAAATGGGACTGACATCGAAGGTAAGGGAAGATAGAGAAGGAGTGGAGGAATGATGTATACTGCACTGAAATAGATGAGGGACCAAGGGTGGCCCACATCAGGTCCTCGTGGCTGACAGGATTGACAGGCCCCAGCTCCCAGCTGGAAACAAAGGAGGACGTTTCAAGGATTTAGATCCTCCCAGAAGAGCTGTGGGTGAGCATTAATATTACTCATAAGTATATTCGTTTTCTCCTGGACACAAGAGCCTACTATTTGGTCCTAAAAGCCTTCTGAGGTCCCAACTCTTCTCACTATTTCTTAGTTGTTGGAATTGACAGAAAACCTCATAAGCAGCTCCTTACTTCACCTCT